AGGTTTAGGTAGTCTTGAATCACACAGCACACACACACCAGACAAGAAATCCCGTGCATCATTTAATCGAACCCCTACTCCATTTACGATGGGCCGTTTTCGAATCTCGATACGTCCGAGTGTCGTGACGGACGTGTGGTTTTCGCGTTTTTGTACTAAGAGCATGCATGCACTTCAATGACTTGTGGTGGTGGACAGTCGGAGGTTGCAGTAGGTTTTACTTGAAGCTTGAGAGCCAAGCCCAAGACCGGGGACAAGGCAGGTGAAATTTACACAGTAGTTATCACGAGCCCGGTGGGAAGTATTTCGTTACGGAGTACAGGTGTAGATGATTAGATTCGGCCGTGAGTTGCCATTGATCGTCTTTTCATCTGCGTTTCTGGTAAGTGATCTGAGGAAAAATGCCGGGTTGCCTGAGTGGATGGAGACCAGAGTATCCGGATTGTGCGTCTGAAGCAGTCGTGGCAGTTCAATCCTACGCAATATGATTGCACAATCGCTGGTTTGGTTGGCGACGATATGTCAGCGTAATCCATTCAATCCAAAAAAGTGCAACAACCAAAGAAAAATACATCGTGACATCGTCATCCCTTCTTTCCCAGCCCGGCCGCGGCCGCCGTGGCCCGTCCTCCGTCCCGAAACCGCCAACCACTGGGAACTGTGGGAAGGTGCAAAAGTGTGGCTGGGGGGCTGGGTGTTTCCTTCTAGAAGCTCGACCGCTGAGTGGATGACGGCCGGTGCGGGTGCTGTTGACATTTGACGACAACTGCAGCCTTGATTGGGTCTGCCTTCTCCGTTGTCCATCTCGCGTTTCTTACGGCAGACCACCTCAGCTCACCTCACGTAACGGATACTAGTTATGTCTTCAATTCAATCAATTCCCATCAATTTCTCTCTGATGGAGGCCCGTCCCGACGAAGGCCCGCGCTTGAAATTTATGCGCACGATGCACCACGCACGAGGATTTGACAGACGTGCATAACAAACATACACACACCGCCTGGATCTAATGTGGCTTTCTTTTCCCGCAATGTCCGAGATGTCGATAACAAATAATAAACAACAAACAGTCTCACGATCCACGAAGATAACAACAGCATGGCCGGCTCGACCACGACCCGGGCCCTGGGAAAGGAGGCCACGTTGAAGGGCCATGTGGAATGACGGACATTATATCAATCGCCGTCCAGGGCATCGGATCCAGACATGCCATGCGAATTATCCTCGAAAGCTTATGTCACCCATTTCATTATTAGCACATTACGAATACTGTATCCGTACTCCGTACCTTGCGCATCCCGTTGCACGACACGCCTGACACGATCCCGGATGCACGAGCGAGACACACAAGCCACTCTTATTTCCGTTCCTCGTTTTCTCTGCTGCGTCTCCGTACCTCGTACCTCACTTTGTCGATTCCGAATAGTTCAACTGAACTGAACCCACGAAGTGATCCACGCCTGGTACTATTGCACAGTACTTCATACGTACTGCGTACACCCGGGCTTCAAGAAGTGGACCACATAGACGGCATATCGTCGTCATTTTCCAACGCTTCATATCGCCAGAAAAACCAGTGCTGGGGGCGGTCCCATGAAGTATTCCCACCATTGCTGCGTATTATCCACCCGCGGCGCTGCAAATTGTACGGATACAGTGGTACCTTGATCCCAAGCCCACGGGTTACGCCGTGAAAGCAAATTCGAACGCCACACCACACTGGACACACGAACCAGGAAACCCTGCAAAAACCATCTGAATCCGTACCGCGTCGTGAGCCAATCCCAGCGGGGCGTTCTATTCTTCCCGTTAATCCCTGCTCCCAACACCACGCACACACGCCTCTGCGTGGTATCACTGGCTTTCCATCACCTATCCATGCCTCGCCTTGCCTAGCACAAACACGACCCATTACACGCAGAAGCTTGGTGTAGAATCTGAGGAAGAAGCGGCTCCAGTCTTGCTTTTCATATCCCAGGATTATCTCTTTCTACGCCAAGAAAGAGACTGAATTGGTCCTGGTCCCGAGAGCCACCGTCCGTCCACTCGCCCGCAGTCCACACACACACCATACACCGCTCACGTAACTTTCCCTGCTTGAGTGTACTTCGTACGGATCTTCGTCGTACTACCTGACACCCGCTCGGCACGCATTGGCACAGTCCTCACTCCTCAACCTCCCACCTCATACCAATAACGGCACAGCACAACTCAATTCCGTGACGTCCACTGGTCCAGTGGAAACTACGCAGTAACCAACTACCTTGTTCAACAGGCGATTCCACACGCACCAATCATCCGTCCCGAGCGCGACTACCACCCTGCTGCCAGTCTGCTGCCGCTGCCTCAGCCTGGGCCAAGTCTGACTCTGACATCCAGCGAATTGGCCTTGTACTCCGTTCGCTCTGGGTAATCCGTAAGCCCTGAAAGAGAACGTTACCGAAGCTCCATCTCGGGCTTCTAGAGTTCCTTCAACGGAACGGCCCCAGAACCGGCTTCTACGAAACGAACAAAGACGGGCGCTGGTTGTATTTGGCATGCTTCACTCCTGAGCTGCCGCAGCAATTAGCACTAGCATCAGCATCAGCATCAGCATCGGTATTGTTTGGTGTTGGTTTCCTCGACCGGCCCAGTCCACCCCGTCCATCAGGCCGTTCCTTTGATCGAACTTGGTCGGCGCCGTCGAATGACATTGCCCCATTGCCTCCCAATCCCCTTCCCCTCTCTCTTCAGAACCTCGATCCGTTGGCTTTGTTCGTTTGAAGTCTTGACGCCTCCTGCCCAACCTTGTCCTGTACAAGCTACTGCTTCCTCTTGCGGGCCGTATCTTACGGGTGATACCTTACGTGGAAACGAACCATATTCTCAGACACACGAAGAAACAGAGGCAGAGACAGAAAAGACTCAAGTTGAGGGTAAACCAAAGGCACATTGGTACCGAGTTGCGCTAAGCCCAAGCATTATTCGAGAACAAGGAAAACGCGCGCGGAGCTCCTGCACAAAACCGGACATTTGATATTTCGGATTGGCATTGCTACCAGCCAGCCAGCCTACGGTTACGGATTACTACCACCACTGCCACTGGAACTCTGTATCTGTACGGTACCTAGCTTGCCCCGTCGCCCTGTATTATTCGTGGAAGAGAAAGGGTGTCAAAGGTCTCGCGGGGGTGTGCCAGGCCAAACTAGGACCAAAGCTCGTCAGGAGCTGCTGCTGCTGCGCACCACCACTACTTGGTGCGCACCACAAGCACCACCAGACGTATCCAATCGAAGGCCAGTTCGCTCATTTTCACACTTTCTGACGATCCACTTGAGCAAAAAGGTACTGCTCAGCGCTCACTCTTTCTCGGCGGGCGGCGCTGTCGACAGGCATTCGGCTTGCTGGGGGTGGCGCGCGCAGACGACCGGGAGACAAGACAGGAGACACGACGAAAGGCACGGCGAGCAGCAGGAGACCGTACCGTACTTGTTAAACGTGCTTGGACAAGGCAGACAAGACAATCAGACAATCGTCAGAGAAGAGGCAGTCGACAGAACAAGCAAGCAGGCAGGCAGGCGAGCGGCGAGCGGTGTCGACAATTGGATTGTATACCTGCTGCGTCGACGCAGTCATCCTCATCCCTCGCTTCTTCCCTCGCTGCGGGCTTCATTATTAGGTACCCCGTACCAAGGCATCCATCACGGCGACAGGCAGACGAAGCAGAGACAGAAGAGAGACAGCATTGTGGTGCTACTGCTGGTCGGCAAGGAACCTAGCTCACTCAGCCTGCTTCGCGCAGCTGCACTTGCAGGGCACATCTGCAAGGAAGAAAGAGGGTCGGCTCACTGCAAGTAAAGTGAGTCCAGCGTCTCCATCCAGTCCAGTCCGTTCCTCGGTATCCGTAACGTATGCGGATTCCATACAGGCAAGTAATACCACCCACTGCGCGGGCTACAGAACAGACGCATAGGGCAGCCTCAGTTTCGTGACTTTGTGCTTCATATGGAGTGGTACCTTAATTGCTGACCTGAGGTGTTTGTACAGTAGTCGTCTGCTGGATTTCCTGATTGTGTCCATCAGCCAGCATCAAACGTAACAAAAGGCGCATCAGCCCAGCAGCAATAGTAACCTCAGCAGGCAGGACGCTACCTATCTCACTACGTACAAAGTCATACTAGGACAGGCAGTCTTGGAGAAGAGGTACGTCAATTCCATGTATCTCTATGCTGTGCATTAGGTGCGGAACTACCTCTCGGTCATTCACGCTTCCCCCAGTCTTCTCCCCTTCCCTGTGCCTAGCCTGGGCTCTTCCCTGTCGATATCATAACAAGATACTTTGGCTGTATATGCGAGAGCGGCGGCAATGGAAAGTACCGTGCTGTTTCTGGGGATCCACCTGGGGGAACTTTGCACTTGCACTTGCACTTGCACTTGCACTTGCACTTGCACTTGGGTCGGCACCAACACCAGCACCAGGAGCAAGTACTTCGTACCTCAGCAAGTATTCGCACCAGCACCACCAGCTCATTCGCACTTGCTCTCTTACACACCCCTCCCCTCCCCTCCTTCCTCCCTCTCCACCTCACCCTTCCCGTTCCCCCTTCTCCTCTCTCTCTCTCTGTCTCTCTCTCTTTCCCTTCCCGTACCTCCCTCGCTCATCCCGGCCCCCCCTCGCTCCTGCTCCTTCTCTCTCACACAAACTACGTACTATGCAGTAGACAGGAAGGTAATAATCGTCAGGGAATACCTAGGCAGGCACGAAATACACACCCACCACAGTCGCACATTCGCACCTCCCGCCCACACACACATCCTCAGAAAAAGGGCCAAAGCTGCACCTTTACGTAGGTACTTGGTCCTTGTACCCATCTAGCAGCGGGCCCCAAAGTACCTTTTTTCCCTCCCAACTTACTGCAAAGGAGGAGTCCCAGACGTACCGCAGTACTCGAGCCGGCCGGCCTGTTAAAACACCTTGGTTCTCTTCCAATCCTTTTTCATCTCCTCGGCCCTCCTCCAACCCTTTACCTACCCTCACCTCCCCCTTCTCTCCTCCTCCTCGTCCCTCCCCATCCATTCATTCCCTCCTCTTCCTCTCCCCCCGAAGACAGTCCTTCCTGACTCCTTTGCTCGCCGAAAACGAATAAAGGGTCTTTCCATTCTCTAATCCTCTTCCCCCCAATTGAGAATAGGAAAAAAGAGGAAGGTAGGAGAAAGAGAGAAGACTTAATCTGGCGACGTCCCCTCCCTGACTGAACCGACTCGTCTCCCTCGACTCCCAACTCACCACCACCAACCACGCCCAAAGCTGTCAAGGTCGAACCAGCTTCATCTTGCACACGCCCCCCTTCTTCTCCCATCAACTCCCCGACAATCCTCGACAGTTGGAAACGGTTCGCCAATTCCCAGGTTTTCGAGCTTGCAGAGTGTGACCGGAAAAGCCACAAGAGAGCAGGACCACCGCAACAAAGAGAAAGAGACTGGAACTCGATTTAAAGATATAGTGAAGAAGACCTTGATTGGTATTTTCTACACTGCTCTTTCATCAGACAAGACAAGCAAAAAGACTCCCACGTCCCTCCCGTTCCTTGCATCCCTCTCCCGACCGTCCGCCCTTCCCGCGACGACCAATCCAACCAACCCATCACCCCCTGAAGAATTCCTCGCCTCCACGACGACCAAAGGAACTCGACTCAGACGTGCAACTTCCACGACGCAACAAAACCCACACACCCATCCTCGGCCCTCCGACGACTACCACGAAAGCTCCCTTTCGTTCCGCCGGCCTGCCATCCCGCCCTCATTCCTTCCAAGAGCCCCTTTGCGATCTTGGATTGTGTCGGCCCCAAAGCTTCTCGAGCAACCCCGTTCTCCAGAAGCCCGATTCTTCATCCCCGTGGATTCCCAATCTCAGGTTCCCTCGACAAGGAAAGAAAACTACAGGAGAATCTTTTTTTTGGTTCACTATTGCTTTCTCTCAAGGCTTGTCAGACCATCGAGAATACCTCATACATGATCCCACCAGGATTATAGATCATCCCTTTTTGTCCTTCGGGCACCATCTGTGAAAAGGTACGTTTTTTTCTTACTACAACAATGTAATTCAGATGAAGATGTGCGCCTGGCCTACCTATTCACCACCATCAATCCACCTGCCCTGACCAGTCCAGCCTGATGACGGGATGAACCTTCGTCTCCATCTTCCAAACCTTCCCCTACCCAGAGCTTTCTCCGTTCACCACCATCTCCACTACAAGCACTCATCATCCCCTTTACGTTACCGCATCTGTTAAGAGCCCGGTGTCTAAACTTCACATCTTCCCTCCCTCCACAGCTTTTGCGTGCCGTTGTGGTATTTCTACTCGGCGATCCACGTACACAAAGTTTCCCCCCACATTTTACCAAGAAACCAAAACCACCACCAGTCCGAGGTCAGGATAGCTCGAGGGGATACGTTCATTCGTCGCTCCCCCAATCCCATCCTCAGGAATTGTCTCAATTTCGTCTGTCTTGACAGTCAAAGTTGCACAACAACCGTGGCGGTAAGCCTCGCCATCACTTCACACTCCAGCCCTTTTCCCTTCCCAGTTCCTGAGCCTCTGCCCTCTACTCACTCCCTTCTGCCCCTACGGTCCTCTCACTGCCTAGCCCCCCAGTCAAGAGACGCCAGTCTAGATGATTCTCCATCTCCCCTCGTGCCAATCCGTCTCCCCACCACCCACTGGTCGAATCAGGGCGACTCTATCTGAGTTCGAGATCTTCCCCCTTTAGATCGGCACCAAGCGGTATTTACAGAAGCCGGTTGCTCCTTCATCGCGCCCGTCGTCAACCTTCAAACAGCTGCTTGTCTCACTTCGTCCACTACTCTAGGCTCCCTCGAGCGCCTGCAATCGTCTAAACGAACCGCGAGCTAACCCAATCTTTTCTCTTCTTTTAGAGCCATCCACTCGACCTCTCTCATAAACGGCCAGTTTCCCGGCCACCTTTCCGTCCGTCAATCTCACACGAGGAACTCGGTCTCGCATCATTTCGGCTTCTCATCCAGCCACAGTCACTCTTTTGCCGGACCCTGTTCGCTTTCAACACGCTCCTTCTAATACTAATATTCTAATCTCTCGGTTGCACCATTCCACTCTTTCACAGCACCGATTCTGAAGACTTTTTTTTACCGTTTCTTTTTTCACGTCCTTCCGTCTCCGACCACCAAAAAAGCTTCCTGGAGAACTTAATCGTCATTCTTTCCCGTTTCGGAACTTCGACCCGTCAGCCAACCCCCCTCATACCCGCCCTCGACTCACTACATCACAATTCAAAATGGCGTACTACCAACAACAACAGCAGCACTCCGATCCTACCTTCTTCACAGAGGACCACGACGAACCCCAACGGCCAAGAATGGGCACTCGGGACGCCGCCAAGATGATTGCGAGGCAACGGCAGGAGATTATCGCCAGCGAGCTTTCCCGGATAGCTGGTGACGAGTACTTGGAGGATATCATGAAGCACATGAGGCACATGGAGGTAAGAATGAGAGGAAGGAGCAGCCACTGGCCTCAGTTGGATCGGCTTTACTGACACCCAACTTCAGGATGAGACGATGCCTGATGCCAATCTCATCGACATGCAAAGAGAGATCCAATGGTACATGAGACCCTATCTCATCGACTTTCTCATCGAAGCCCATGCCGCCTTCGCCCTCCTCCCCGAGACTCTTTTCCTCACTGTGAACCTCCTCGATCGGTACTGCTCAAAGCGTGTCGTCTACAAGCAACACTACCAGCTCGTCGGTTGCGCCGCTCTCCTGATTGCCGCCAAGTACGGTGACAAGAAGGACCGTGTGCCCCAGATCCACGAACTCAACAACATGTGCTGTGGCTTGTACGACGCCGGCATGTTCACCCAGATGGAGATGCACGTCCTCAACACCCTCGAGTGGACCATTGGCCACCCCACTGTCGACTTCTTTACCCAGCTCATCGTCGCTGAGGAGCACGACAAGGTTGAGGTTGAGCACATGGCTGCCTACATCTGCGAGATCGCCCTGTACCACCGTGACTTCGTCTCCACCAAGCCTTCCATCATGGCTCGCTCATCTCTCGCCTTGGCAAGAGCGATCCTTGGGGAGCCCGAGATCAACGACGGAGAATGGGACCACGTTGAGAACGTTACCCTGCTGACCCTCTCTCAACACCTGCACAGCCCCTCCGTCGCCCTCGCGAGGAAGTACTCATCATCACACTTCTCCGGCGTCGCCAAGAAGCTTGCGTCTTTCATGGCTCACCAAGCTAGCATCGCGCGAGCCCAGTCGGGGGTCCCTCCGAGTCCGCCTTCTGAGTCCGCCTCAAAACACTCAAACATCTACAGCACCCCCCACAAAGGCCACGGAGCTGTCGCAGGAGTAGTAGAAGGATACATGACCCCGCCCATCACCCCTGATGGCGCCGCATACGGAACCGTGAACAAGGACGCATACCCCATGCCGCCGAGATGTCCGGTCACCCCGACGCCACAACCCAACACAGCGGCGTACGCGCAACAACAAGTGCAGCAGCAATACGCCCCCTTTGTACACCAACATACGACAGGCCACCACATGGCCTAAACGTCGACTAGCACGAGTCGAACTCAGGACCGACTTGTCGGTCCGCCCCGCGGAGTCCCACACAGCGAACCAACGCTACGATACGGGCAATCGAAGCTTTCCCCTCATTATACCCGTGGCAGGGCAATTGAGCGATCTCCCAGGAAGTGGATTAAAAAGGAAAAAAAGATTGTTTGCCGCATGCATACAGAATGGTTTTTTTCATCAACACGTCATGGCATCGAGCGATTTGATTTTTATGCAACAAAGTCCATTTTCACTCAGCAGAAGTGTCCCAAAAAAAGGAATACGGATCATACCCCAAACAACCCCCGAGTTATTTTTTTCTCAACAGCATTCAGCGGCTTTTTATTACATACACAACACACCCCAACGAAGAGTTTTTACGTTCGCGAGATGGTCACCCCAGGATGGGTGAAGGATTGGAATCACAGCGGTCATCCTTCACGGTAATTTGAAGCTGGGATCCAGGCGACGAGATATCGACACCCCCGACCCATCGTTCACAACACACCAATGAAGGGACACCAGCCAAGGTCAGATTGTAGGGTCTCAGGATGAGATTCGACCTGAATGGGAATTCTTGAAGGAGGAGAAAAAAAAAGAAGCACAGTGGATTTTTTTCGACGGATCGGTGGGACCTCGATGGACTTTAACCCGATGGGAAAAGACTCTTGGACTCGCTCAAGGAAGGGAAACCTGCGGCCACTGAGCACACGAACACCTCCTGGCCGGTTTACTTTTTTCGCACCTTGGAACCAACCATTTCGAGAGTGGTGGACAGATTGTTTCCTTTTTCTTTGATCATTGAAGGCCGGATATCCCCTAATTGGCCAACAATGGATACAAAGGGATACCAAAGGAATCGGTTTTTGGTCCGCACGTTACTTTTGGAGACAAGGCTGGATTCGTTCTCTTTCGATGACCAGAAGGAAATTTCTGGATGGAGAGAAGGAAATGGGGGGATGACCATGATACGGTACCACCCCCTTACCCAGCCGGGGCGAGAGCCCTCGAGACTTTCGTATACCCGCATTTGGACTCCCTTATGTGTAAGGTAGTTGTACAAAGGCACAAAAAAAGAGTAAAAATTCTCTGCTACTTTCTCGTCATGTCTTCTGGTCCCTCTATTACTGTGTGCCATGTCTTTCTTTGTGTTTGTGTCCTATGATGAAGTCTCTCAGTGATGAATATGGTTTGGCTGGTAGCCCGGTGCTGGGCCTCTGTGTGACATGGTCCGTGATGGTTACACACAAGCGGGGAGGGTCGAGCTTCTTGAAAAGCCCACACGGGAAATGAATTTTGCCCACCCACATCCATCCCCCTGCCCCCCTCCTCCTCCCCGGGCTAATCATAGCTGTTGCATTAGTGACGCGGGATGGAGCGGCGGGAGGCCTACTATTGGACTTTTCTTGTGATGAAGTAGGCTTATGCGTTGGATAAGGTATGTCACTTCATTATGCGAGTGATTCCACGATAAGGTAGGTCAAAGTTAGGTGGAGAGAGTTTCAAGTTCGAACCTCTACCCCCGAGATTGTTCATCCGAAAGCTGGAAAGCTTGCTTGATTGATTGATCTTCGTCTGAAAAAATTCGAGACTGACACATTTTCGCTTGGGAGTGACATTGCGAGAGACATGGAGGATGAGGCTAAGCCTGTTTAGGTGGGTGGGTACTTGTAATCTGTGATGGATTATGTAAGGCGTTCAATGCAGGGAAATGGAAAGGTACGGGGGTACTTGTAGACTTTCCCATTTGACGGGGGCCGGGGTCGGGATGTGAGCTGTGCATTTGGGCATGGTGCATGGTTTTGCTGGCTTCTGATGTCTTGTGAGATTATTTGCTGGATGGCTTATTCTGGGTTCGGTATTTGAGGTAGAGATAAAGGGGGGAGGTTGGAGTTTGGGATGCGTGGGATCCAAGCTGGGTTTGTTGTCAGGATCGTTTTGGTAAGTGGTGGTGGTGTTGTCTCTCTCCCTTTTGTGTAACGGTGATAAGGTGCGCGCATGTCTCAGGGAGAACTTTTCTTTTTCCTTCTGTCGGTGAGCGTTTTCATTTTCAAGAGGATTTGGTTGAGGCCTGCTGAAGCAAGGATTGATTAAGTAGGCAACACCTTGGGCAACGTCGAAAACAGAGGTGACGAGGTGGTTTTCAGATGACGAGAGTGCCATAGCTACCTACAGAGTATGGTGACAGCATTGCTGGGGCTGATCTACCTAACTTGCTAGTGTTGTGACTCGGACATGATAAAACCAGAGGACGCTCCGTAAAATGGTTACGAAGAACTACGGAATACTGCAGACGCGAAACTTGACACTTTGTTATTCCAGGGTTTCCAACCTCGTCCTTTTTTTTTTTGCTTTCACTTCATCCGGGCTTTTGCCTTGCGACGAGGGAGGGAGGAAGGAGAGGGCGGGATTGTGTTTGCGCATTGACGGGTTTTATGCAATGGGGGTTGGGGGGGAAGCAAGGGACAACTCTGAGTGATTGACGCGTTGGCCTTGTGATGCGGGATGTGCGCTTCGGAGAATCTTATGTATTTCTCACTGGACCTTTCGTTGACGACCGACTGGTTTTGGTTGTGAATTAGAGCTTGGATTTTGCGTCTTGAATATGGGTGGCGATAGTTAGGCTTGGATGGTGGTGGTGAGTCACATTCGGGACATTGTGGGCTATGATGCGAGATCCAGAAGTACAATCCACCCGGGGCGGCCGGAGCGTAACGGCGGGAAGGGTTGGGGGATCCCGGGCTGTAGTCTTCGTTTCCTTTTCAATTCAGTCCTTTTTTCTTGGGCCTTGGATCTTGAGAGGTCGGGAGACTTTGTGGGACGGGGATATTCGTTGTTGAAGGATAGCCGTGCTGAGCCGTTTTACGGGTTGACGCGCGTGAGATGAGATGAGATGAGATAGTATTGGAGGTATTTCACACATGGTTCGGTCCCGTTCGTCTGATCTTATTGGACTTCTGTCTCCGGGTGTTGGTAGCTATTGCCTTGGGAGGCTGGGATTATCCAGGTCTCTTGACGGTGCTGTTCTTTTTTACTGGGGATGTTGTTTTGGGGATTTGTACATGCCTCATGGGCACGGATTATGCCTAGATAGAAAAGGAGTAGGGAGGGGAGGGTGGCTCAACTTGGTTTTGAGAAATCGATGTTGGAGGGATCGAGATTTCGTGATTGGGATGCGTGAGAGATATCGGGTGGTTGATATAGGGGTGGAAGGTGGGTTTTCGGTAGATGATTATGCGAGATTCTGCCTGGTTTTGAACGTCCAGTCGCGCTTTCACATGTCAGCTTGGGACTAGAGATGAGAAGTTTGGACTTGATGTGGTAGACATGTTTGTATTCGTCTCGATATTGTCTTGTAAGTTGGAAATTCGTAGCACAAAGTCAAGGATTTCCAAAATTGCCAGTCTCAGTCCAACAGTAGAGTTCTCAACTGGCACCGAAAGATGAAATGAAACATTTCGTCGAGACTTGCGAAATTGAGACTCGCGCAAGTCTTGACCAGGCTTCGCTAGCTGTATTGTCATCTTCTAGTCGCTGATGGTGAGTTGTCCCTCATGTTGAGCGAAATACCCGAGGATTGCAGTAGATGAACGCTCTCAACTTCAATTGTCAAACTCTCAACAACACTTACCTAAAAGACCTACTCAAACAATCTAACTTTCTTACGTTGCTTCTCTCGCTGCGAATTCAATGTCCTAGGCTCAATGACATGCCTCGCCCTGACGCCATTCTTATCCGTGACTGTAACCTCACTCCGTCCCTTCCATCCCTTCTCCTCAACATCAATCAAGCTTACCCCTTTCTCCCCATAACCAGAGATCACCGCCGCCTTTTCATGTTCCATACGAAGCACCGCAGGCTTCCCGCCATCATCTCGACAGACCGTCTTCCACACTTCCCTTGGATGACCCGGGTCACACACCTTCCCCGTCCCCGGCGCCCACCGCATCTGTCCAGGCATCCGATGCGCACCCAGCACATCACGCCGGTCCTCGCCCATCCAAATCGTCCGAAGCCCAGGCGTACTCTGCACATAACACACCTTGAACGGCAAAAGCCCCGAAAGACGACCGTAATCGCGGCCCTCGGCCATATCAACCAAACTCGTCGCCTTTTCAAGAAACGTCGTCCCACCCTCCGCCGTCGTCTTGGCCACAGCGTCCATACCTCCGCGAGGCGACGCAAAGGAACCGCTTCCTGTCTTGGATGAGCCGTTTACCATCACCAGCGTGATCCCGCCTAACATAGGCTCCTCCGCCCGCCAGACGGGCGACGACGCCGAGACGAGGGGCTCGCATGTGACCGTGTCCACGACGGCGACTTCCATCTCGTACAGCCAGGTCGCCACCGTGTCCGAGGCCGTCTCGATCGAGATGCGGGAGATAGCGGCGTAGGATCCGCGCTCGATGCCCAGCGCGCGGGCGTCGCGGTTGTAGAGCATCGGTAGCGTCGCGCCGCTGTCGAGGAGGGTGCGGAAGTGAAGGGTTGGCGCCGAGGGGTCGCGGGCCATGTGTGGGTGGCGCGACGGGCGATTTTGGCGGAGGGCGGATGGGGGTTTAATGCCTGCGCGAGAGGATGATGATGGTGTACGTGATTTGGGCCTTCTGGTATAGCGGGGAGGGAAGCAAGGCAGGTCCGAGTCTGAAGCGGCGTCGAGGTCGTCGTATTCTTCGTTTTCGGCGACGACTGGCCAGTCTTTCAAGTTCGCCATTGCCGCCTCTTCATCGTTGTCGTTGCACTCCTCGTGCTTCCTTTTCTTCGACACGGCCATGCTTCTCAGCAGTGGCTCCGCGCCGCAGTACGCGAGGGACTTCATCCTCCGAAACGACATGGTGACGCTATAGTGGCCCATGTCGTATGTCGAGTCCGTCTCTGGGAGAAAGGTACTCTTGCGCGCGGAGAAGAAGGGCGAGGGGCCGCAGCCGGCGTCACGGGCCAGGGGCGGCTCGATCCAGAGCCAACCTTCGCCGTGGAGGCGGCTGTAGCGGGCCAGGCGGGCGGCGCGGTCCGCGGTGAAGGAGGCGTAGGTCGGCGCAAAGTCGACAAGGTGGCCCGCGTAGATGAGGGTCCAGTTGGCAGAGTATGGGATGCGGGAGGCGCGGTAGAGGGAGATTGCGGCGGTGATGTTGGCGTGCTCGGGGGGAAAGGAGGAGTCTTGGAGGGAGTCTGTAAGGAACTTGATCCTGGAGGCGATGGCTTGGTCCTTGTGTGCTTGGAGCGAGTTCAGAGGCGTTGTCACTGAGTCTTCGTATAGGAGAGGAACGTGTGTGTCTTCTTCTCCATGATGCTGTTGTTGTTGGGCTGTGAGGGCATCGAGTTGGGCGCGGGCTCGGGTTAGTTCTTCGAGGATGGGGCCAGCGGCGTCTGGGGTCGATGAGAGGGTTGACTCGTGGATTGCTTCCCATTGAGCGACGAGGCGACGCGCGGCTTCTACGACGGTGAGATTCTTGCCCAGCGGTGCGCCGATGACGAGAGGTGGTGTTTGGGATGATGCCTGAGAAGTTTGGGGATTGTTGCTGGGACTCTCGGCTTGCACTTGGCGACGCCATATAGCCTCGCGCTCTTGAGCATCTATCTCTATGCGGATTTGCTCGTCGAGCTCTCGTTCGTGAGCTTCGACTTCCAGACGACGGGCAGCTTCTTCTGGACCGCACACATCGGTCTCTTGGTGGTTTCCATCTTCGGCATGGGCTGAGTTAGACTCTGGCTGTGATGGGAATTGCGAAACGGCGGCAGGCGAGTCGCGGATGTGAGTATCCACGCCGTCGGAGCCAGAATCATCGGGACTCTGCTGACGAGACATTGTTTTTGCCGTGAAGGGAAAGAGTCTATAGCAGAAGAAGGAACAGGTCTTTGCTGCATTGATTTACTTGCAGAAGTCTGCGAAAGCCTTTTCTACTTTTTCTGGAAGCCCATTGCTTGGAGATGACAGGAGAGAACCAAGGTTTCTCCTGTTCGATTCTTAGTATATGTGACCTGTCAACATCCGAATGTCTGGCCTCAAACCTCATTTCATAGTTGCTGGGGTTCGCGGCTTCGCGACAAGATCAGGTAGCCGCCGTTGCGACA